AAAGAATAAATTTCTTTTTGATTTAAGTGCTTTTTATTCCATTAAGCATTACAAAGTTATCAACTCATTTGACGAATGTGAGTTTTTTTTTTCTTGCTTCTCTGCCTAACATAAAGATAGATTTTTTTGGTGGTAGGTTCGTTTCTGAGATTTTGGTGGTCAACTTCTTTTTCTTGCTTCTCTGCCTAACATAAAGATAGGTTTTCGAGACCACTCCAACACATTTTGTGTCCCCTTTACTAGGTGACACGTGTTATCACCTTATTGGATAAAAATTAGTGGATTAAATAAATAAAAATTAAAAAAATCCTCTAATTAGATATTGGCATGTGTCACCATCTAATTGGAGATTAAATTTATTCTAATTGAATTAAATTATGACTAAATTTATATAATATATAAATACTGAGGACCAAATGTATAAATATGCCAATTTTATTAACTTACACATCACTACCTCCGTTAAAAATTAACACTCAGTGGCTTGATTGACGTATTTAAATAGTTGGGTGATTTGATTGATCAAATCAAAACGTTGACGGTCAAATGAATTTTGAGCATAGTTGAGTGGTCACCCGTGCAATTTACCCTAATTTTAAAAAGAGACAAACCTAGTGAACTGATCTGATTTGTCCTTGAACAATTATATTATATGGCAAAGAACAAAATTCTTTTTAATTAAGTGCTTTTATTCCATTAAGCATTACAAAGTTAACAACTCATTTGACAAATGTCAGCTTCTTTTTCTTGCTTATATGCCTAACATAAAGATAGGTATTTGTTGGTGGCAGGTCAGTTTATGATGTTTTGGTCGCCCTAGGTAAATAAAAAAAATAGATCTCTAATCAAAGATTTAAATTATAATTTGTATTTGTGTCTTCGATCTTATTGTGTTTATCGCTATTGCGGACATAACATATGATATTGTAGTCATTGCAAGTAGCGTAGTTATTGATTTTTAATAACATATATAATTGTGGAGATAACGATTATGAATATTGTAGTTTTGGACGATGTCGTTACCACTACATAACAATCATTGTTGCAATTATAAATCGTTGTTCAAGTAATTCTTCATAATGACAAGTGTTAAGAAAATAAATTTCAAGGGTAGCTCCATAATAAAAAGTATTGAAAAAAATGAATCTATAATATCAAAATTTAAAAAAAATAAATGTCAAAAGCATGCTCATAATAATAAATATTAAAAATTGGATCTCTAATAAAAAGTACTGAAAAAATTGCACTCATAACAACAAATAAATATTTTAAAAAATAAATTTTAAAAGCATGCCTCTAATAACAAATATTAAAAAAATTGGACTCGGAAAATAAGTATTGAAAATTTAAACATTTATAACAAATATTAGAAAACAAAGTAAATTATAAAAATAGTCCCCTAATAATAAAAATTAGAAAAAAAAACTAAGTCTAATAATAAATATTAGGAAAAAAATTGATCCCGCATAACAACTATTAAAAATAATTGGATTTTATAAATGATATAAAACTATTTTTTTATAAATATAATACATTATAAAAATTATGGGACTTGGGTAGGGTTTTTTTTTACCCCGGCCCAATATGGCCTTGGTTGGGCGGAGCCATGTGCTTTTCATACATTTCTTGTGTTTGAAAGTGGAAATATAACATTCCGTTCTGGTCTGTAATAAATAGTGATACGTTATTGAAATAACCATTGTTGTTGTACTTTGTGACACCCGTAATAACTACAATATCATATGCTATGTTTATAATTATGATAAATGTTACGCTACTAAAAATACATTATAATCGCAATTTAAATCCTGATTCCCTATACACAGGCTCGCCAACTGAGCTATCTCCGTCGTTTAATCCTCAAATCAAAACCCTCAGATCAAATTCTTACTGGCCATTTAGCTAAGCTCACGCATACTTTTACAAACAAATTCTCCCTAAGCAGCTCTGAGTTTTGCTCCTGGAATAACTAAAATGATCACATTAGAAACTAAAGTTTTGTAATAAAAAAAGGTGGAGAAATCATTGAGGATGCATGATGGAAGTGGCGTGTGAATAATGGAAAAGAAAGTGTAACTGGGATTTCTGCAAAATGATCATCACTAGAAACAAAAATATACGACACCAATATGTCTTTGAGGGACTAAAAGAAGGTTCCTTTTGTCGGGGGCAGAATGCTATGCGTCGTGGCTGCACCAAAATAAAATTTTCCAGTTGGCTGTTTCATGAGGAAACATCATAGCCACTCAATTTGGAACAATAATTGATTCAGGGTTTGAATGGAAGGGAAGGGTGGGGGATCATAAATAATTGCAGCAGCCAATGATAGCAGCAAAGACAAATTGAAAGAACCACACACATTTTTTATTAAAAAAATATAATTTCATGGAAATTGGTGAGTAAAATAAGGACCAAAGTGGATGCTTTTATCTTTAACAGGGACTATTCCTAATTCCTATATGAAAAGAACAGTATGGATGGGGCACTGAATGCCCCCTGCTTAAAGAAAACACGACAGTAATTTGCTTCCACTAGTGGTAGCATTCATTTATACACTCATACCTGCATATCAATTCCATAATAGACATATATATGGAGTGAGAGGGATAATCGATCTTCCATTAGTTGAGGGGTTAAAGCAATTATTTATCTCCCACTAAGAAGCTGAATCCACTCGTAATTCAGAGTCAGCACTTGTTCATCTTAAAATTTAAATTTTTACTATTTGTTATTTATTTTATTGATTGCATCCAGTTAGAAATTTTATTTGTGTATAAAAATCGGGTAAACTACACATTTAGACGTAAACTATCAATTTTGATTTGTTTTAATATCTAAACTTTCAATTTTTAAAACCATACTTAATGTTTAGTTTTTATTTCATTTTAGTACCTCACGTTAAAAACTTAACATGTATAGTACTAAACTATCAATTTTGGTCTGTTTTAGTACCTAAACTTTCATTTTTTATTTCAAAACTTAACATTAAATTTGAACGGGATACTAAAATGAAATAAAAACAAAAGTTTTTAATGGTGGGTAATAAAATGAAATAAAAACTAAATTTTAGGTATGATTTAAAAAAAAATAAAGTTAAGGTATTAAAACGGACAAAAACTGATAGTTTAGGTACTAAATGCGTAATTTACCCATAAAGATTTTGTTTTATTAATACATATGTCTACCTTAAAAATTTCCGAATCCATCAATATCATTAAACTTTATTTGTTTTTTTGGGTAAACTACATAGATGGTCACTAATGTTTAAGTTTTCATTTTCCCCACTGGAGTTTCAAAAGTAACAAATTGGCCACTAATGTTATCGATTTGTAACAAAACAATCACTCACCGTTAATCTCCATTAACCTGGGTGACGAAAAGGACGTAAACTCCATTAGAGTTATTAGTTTTGAGCAAATAAATTATTCATTCCTTCTTGTTGTCTCTACCAACATACTCTATAGCTCCATCCACCACAGAAGTAATGGAAGGCCATTCAACACCAAGATGTTTCAAGCTTCCTTCACAAGTTGCTCGCACATAAGCAGGGTCACCCTCCTGATGATCATAAGTTAAACAAGTCAAAAATAGTTTTATTAGAAACCAATTGGGTTGTTTGAGGATTTAAAAACAACACAAATTAATTCGAAGAGGAAATTGAAATTTATGATTGGTGCAACCTATAGCGGGATTAACTGCAAATATTATTGAAAATGAACCTCCCATGATCCCATCCCAAACAATAAAATGTCAACTCTATTGGTGAAACTTAAAGTCAAAGAAAAAGAAAGTTATAGGTGCAAATAAACCAGGAGGGGACAATATTATTCAAAAAATAAAAAAGGAGGGGTTTAACTACTAGTTCCCGTCCATCATGTTGTTCCAAGTATACAAACTTGAGGTCTAATTGTCTAGTCATCTTGTTCAAGCTGTGTGGGTAACATGAATCAGAGGACTAGTGTGTACCATAATAAAGAATAAGAAATTGAAGGTATTCATTGTTGTGAGAATGTAAATAAATTTGAGTAGAATAAGAAACAATTTATGGTATCTTCCATCCATTGATGTTGACTGTTGAAACAATGGAGTTTGCGTCATCTCTATCTTTGGCATGGGGGAATGAGTAAAACAACTCTTGCTCAGCTTGTTTATAATGATGTCAGCGTAGAAAAGTTTTTTTATCTCAAGATTTAGATACATGTTTTTGATAACTTTGACCCCCTTAAAATAAGCAAAATTATTTTTAAATAGAGGGTTTGATCGACCAAGGAAGAGTGATTTTAAAGTGATATTTTTATAGCATAAAAAGTAGAATATGAGCTTAAGGAAAGAGAAAGTGTGACGAAGAAAGAGGACAAAAAGGTTGACAGGTTAGCACTCAACGAGCCACATAAGTTTTCGGTCACCCACGTTAACGGAGGTTAACGACGAGTAATTGTTTTGTTACAAATTGATAACGTTAGTGACCAATTTGTTACTTTTGAAACTTTAGTGGTAAAAACAAAAAACTTACTCAAACATTAGTGACCATTTGTGTAGTTTACCTTTTTTTAACGTGGCAGTCAACCCATCAATGTCATCAGTTAATGCGCCAACTGTGTTTTCCATCACGCCTGTTAACGGCTGTTAACATTGAGTGACTATTTTGTAACCAATCAATAACGTTAGTGATTGATTTATAACTTTTGAAACATCAGTGGAAAAATTGAAAAACTATCTCAAACATTAGTGACCATCCTTGTAGTTTACCCTTGTTTTTTTAGAAAGTAGATTTGGCGTGAAGGAATAGGTCAACCAATTATGGATAGTCACCCCTAAAAAATTTAAATTTTTAGATATATTTTTTATATTTTTAATTAAAAATTTATTTTTGTCCCCCTTATTTCAAATTTTATAAAATCATCTCCTAAAATAAAAATCATGCTGCTGTCCATCACTCCACCTTTTTCCTCTCTATTTAAAGGATGATTGGTTCCAACTTCTAAGCACGACAACCCACCTCTTCTTCTTAGTTTCTCTCTCATTGCAACAAAAGAAAGAAGAAGAAAAAGAAAAGGCCTTTCTTCTTCATGAACACCATGATTATGTCGTTTGTTTTAGTTGCATTACTGCAGATTCTACGCATGCATTATCATGTGTTGCCGGCTCTTGCAGCAGTTGCAGATTCCAATCGAAATGTTAGTAAATTCATAACCACGAGTGATCCATCAATTCAGTTTTTTATATTAGGTCTTGAATTTTTATGTTGATTATATTCAAAGATAGAGGTAAAATTTATACATAAAACTGGACAGGTCTACATCGTTTACATGGGAAAAAGGCAGCACCATGATGTTGAGCTTCTTACAGAAACTCATCATGACATGCTCGCATCTGTTCTTGGAAGGTTATAAAGGAAAACAAATACTTATATAAATCAACTGATATTCTTTTAGATATGTTGTTGAAATTAAAATATAGATTCATGGATTTTTATAAGAAGAGGCTTAATTTTGTTAAATATGGCAGCGAAGAAACACCCAAAGATTTCATGATATACAGCTATAAATATGGTTTCTCTGGCTTCGCGGCAAAGATGACGAAGGATCAAGCTCAAAAGCTCTCTGGTATGTGCTTTTAACTCTCTTCCGTTTCCCCTTTCCTTCACTTTTTGGTATAATCTACGGCTGTAAATGAGTTAAGTCGAACTCAAATATTGCTGAGCTCGATTTAAGAACTCTTAAAATAAAGTTTAACTCGATTCAAAAATTCGTGATCCTAAATTTTTTAAACTCGATTCAAACTCGAAAAAGCTTGTCAAGCTTGAAATAAAAAAATCTTGAACATATCTGGGTTTAAGGTGAAACTCAATGTTTAAGGTGAAACTCAAACTTGAACATTAACCTTAAGTACATGAAAACCTTCTACTACATTTAAAAAAAACACATAAATGTTAATATTATTAATAATTTATTTGTTTAAAATATAAAATTTCAATATATAATTTTTTTCGAGTTGTTTGTGAGCTTTTTGAGTCGAGTATCAAGTAGCTCATTTCTGCTCGTTAAAAAAACTTATTATTTGGATAAATTTAAAATATTATTATAAATATTTAATGAAATATATTTATTCTTCGACCATATTCAATGAAATTAACATTTAATTAAACCGTCAAATAGATAAATAAAAATTCTCTTAATTCACGTAAAACTATTATTACATTCGTATCATAACATCACTTTTAGGTAGCATCATCTCAATAATAATAATAATAATAATAATAATAATAATAATAATAATAATAATAATAATAATAATAATAATAATAATAATAATAATAATAATAATAATAATAATAATATTGTGGGCAAAATGTGTTATATGAAAATAAAAACTATGTGATAATAATAAAGCGGTGGCATGCCATGCATGCATGCACACATACTAATTGTGTTGTGCGTGAATTTAGTATTAGGCTATTTGGGTCTTTACATAGGTTTTTTTATCCTAATTCGAGTTGAAGATTTTTATTTTATAATTTAATTTTTTTAATTTTTTTTAACCAAGTTGAATTTATAAAATATGAGTTGAGCTTAGTTTATAAAATTCAAGTCGAATTGTTTGAGTTTTTGTTTAAATTTAATTTTAAACATTTATAATATCACAATACTATTTGATTCCAATTTAAACAGTTTTCTATAACTATATCCAATACGTATATATTTTCATATGCAATATATATCATGTAGAGTTGTGGGACTCGACTCTAACTTGAAAATCAATCTACTAATTACTAAAATTTAAAGTTATTCAAGTTATATTTTATAGTTCAACTTGAATTTGAAATTTTTTCGAGTTGAATTGAGTTTATAAAATTAAAAATAGAGTCAATTCAAATTGAATTTTTTCAAGTTTAGTCGAATAAATCATTTTCCGTGCTGCTTCAAGTTTTGCTTACTCCTAATTTGACTAAATACTCTTATGATTAGTAATTTTGCCCTACTATATCAAAAAACTAGTTTACGTTGTATGAAACACGAAATTTAAAATGAATGATTATCTAAAATATTACGTAATAGAGTTGTACTAATTTAAAGTCAATCCCGAATGAAAGATAAAATTTTTGTATCTTATCAATATGGCAAGTAGATAATTATAATGGTCTTAAAAATGTCTATTAATAGATCGAATGTATGTAATAAGATGAAAAGAAAACTCATAAATTTCAATTGACATCAATTTCAAATTCAATACAACAATCCTTCTATTTACACTAAAAATTATAATTTTAAAAAATCCTACCATATGAAATAATTAACAAACAGAAATAATATGCATGAATAATAAAATAAACAAATCTATGTTAAGCTCAACTTGAATATATATATATATATATATATACATATAGAAGCATCTTTCTATTTTCTTACGTTAAAAATAATTTTTTTAGAAGTTTTGGATTCGAACATTGCACCCAATAATTTAGATATCGGTTGTGTTTGTGATTTCAGTTGTGTAGCGTTTATCGTGATTACGTGCATAACAAACGCTATTACATAGTGATGGCAACGGGTCCATTTAGGTCGGATTTTTGTTTAACTCGACCCAACCCGAAAATATGTATCCTCCACCCGAACCGACTCTACCAGAAAATTATATATCCTCCATCCGACCTGACTCGACCCGAAAAATATATATCCTCTATCCGACTTTGATCCGATCCAAATTTTTAGAGTATAAATCTGACTTGACCCTACCCAACCTAGTATAAAATAATGACTTAATTAAAAAAATAATAATTTTTTTTAAAGAAATTACATTATTATACCCAGGTTGGGTCAGTTTGGAGTTTTTTCACCCTCCACCCAAACCTGAACTCACCCCTTAAAAAATCTGCCCCGACCTTACCTGAATCTAAACCTGAATTTTTTTAGAAAAAATCCAACCCTATCAGATTGAATCGGGTCAGAATCCATCAGTTTCCCGGTTAAATTGCCATCCCTACTAGTATTACGGTGATTACGGATATCGCTGTCATGTAATAACGGTTGCGGATGGCATTACTACCGCTATATAATGATCGCTACTACGGTTGCGTACCACTATTTAAAACACTTGCATTTATAGGAGTGTATGTAGGTTTTCAAAAGATTAAAAGATAATAAAAAAATATTTTATAATCACCTCAATTTACTACCTCAAATTACTAAGAAAGAAAAACATAAGACGATGATAATCTCGAAACAAATGGAGGGGAAAGCATTTTATCCCTTGTTTTATTTTGGTGGCAGAATTACCTGACGTGGTTCATGTCACACGCAATCGATTTTACAAGCTGAAAACAACCAGAAGCTGGGATTACCTTGGCCTCTCCTCCATTTCACTATCTAATCTTCTTAACAAAAGTAAAATGGGAAATGGTGTTATCATCGGTCTCCTTGATACAGGTCTGCTTCTCATCTCTTTCACTGTGTTAGCATGTCAAGCAGTTCGGTTTAAACTAGTCTTTTAGTAATCAGCAGGTATATGGCCAGAATTACAAGTTTTCAATGATGAAACTCTGGGACAAATCCCATCCAGATGGAAGGGAGTTTGTGAATCCGGAGAGCACTTCGATGGTGCCAAAGCTTGCAACAGAAAATTGATAGGTGCTCGTTATTTCGTCAGAGGACTTGAAGCTGAGTATGGACAACTATACAACGCCAGTGAAAATGATGATTACATGTCCCCGAGAGATCCGAGTGGACATGGAACGCACACATCTTCGATTGCGGGTGGTTCGTTCGTGGCTAATGCTAGCTGCGATGGATTAGGTCTTGGCACGGTGAGAGGCGGTGCACCCGGAGCTCGTTTAGCTATGTACAAAGTGTGTTGGCGTTTGTATGGTGGTGTTTGTGCCGATGCTGATGTGTTGAAAGGCTTTGATGAAGCAATCAATGATGGTGTGGATGTGTTGTCTGTGTCTCTTGCAGCTGATATGCCCTTGTATTCTGAAGTGGACCATCGCGGTTCCATTTCAATCGGTTCGTTTCACGCCGTAGAGAGAGGGGTCACCGTTGTTTGTGCGGCAGGGAACGCGGGTCCAAGTGCCGAAACCGTGCAGAACACGGCACCCTGGATTTTTACTGTTGCAGCAAGCACTGTGGATCGGTCCTTTCCCACACCAATAACATTAGGGAATAACCATACCATCATTGTAAGCCATAAAACACTATACAGAACACCAAAATAGCTTGATTGGATTTGAAATAACAAATACTAATTTCAGGGTCAAGCAATGTTCACAGGAAAGGATACAGTGTCCGCAACATTGGTGTACCCTGAAGTCTCAGATCTCATGGTTACACGGTAATAACTTAATACCCTTGTTCAGTTCTTTAGCCTTGTTTTTCTTAGTGCCTATCCAAACCGAGTGGCTATACAGTTTTTGCGAGTCCTTCTCGTCGGGCGATGATTGGATGGTAGGAAAAGTGGTGCTTTGCTTTGCTTCAGACTACAATCAGAGCTTGTTAGATGATGGTATATCATCTGTCAAAAAGGCTGGTGGTTTGGGAGTAATTGTTTCTAGGAGTGCAAGTAACTACTTTTATTCATCTGTTACCAACTTCCCCTGTGTTCAAGTAACTTATGAAATCGGAACTCAAATACTATATTACATTCGATCCGCAAGGTACAGTTGATATCCTTAATCATCAACATCATAGATCACCCAGTTTTTTTTCAAATACTTGTTAATTTTGCAGTAATCCCCAAGTAAGGTTGAGCCCCTCAAGGACCTATATTGGCAAGCCTATTTCGACCAATGTGGCATACTTCTCATCTCGAGGTCCGAGTTCAAATGCTCCTGCTATACTTAAGGTTATTTAGCTCACATTGTCCAAAATGGTTCTTTCACAACTATATGAATATGCTAAAAACTCATCTGATCTTTACGCAACACAGCCGGATATAGCGGCTCCCGGCGTGCAGATATTAGCAGCAATCCCTACTTTCGATGAAACAACGAATGGTGCATTTGCTTTTCTCTCAGGAACATCAATGGCAACTCCACACGTGTCAGGAATTGTTGCCCTGCTGAAATCATTGTACCAGGATTGGTCACCTGCTGCTATTAAATCAGCAATTATCACCACTGGTATATTCATTAAACTGTATTCACTTAGTTTATCTTCTTGAACTGTTTTGATATCTTTGACTACAGCATTGACTGCTCAACAATCTGGAGGACCGATTTTTGCCGAGGGAGAACCACCAAAACTCGCCGATCCCTTCGATTTCGGAGGTGGAATTGTAAACCCGAACAACGCAGCAGATCCTGGCCTTGTTTACGACATGAATACAGAGGATTATGTGCAATATCTTTGTGCCATGGGCTATAGTAACTCTGATATATCCCAGGTCACTGAACATCCAATAACTTGTCCTTCTAAACAACCCTCTATTTTGGACGTAAACCTTCCATCCATAACCATCCCAAGTCTTAAAAAACCAACCATTCTTACCAGAACAGTCACAAATGTCGGACCTATCAACTCCAAGTACAAGGCCAACATTGAGTCCACATCAGGCATAAACATAGCAGTGAAACCAGAAACGTTGATCTTCAACTCCAAGACAAAGATTATCTCCTTCTCTGTGATGATTACATCGACCCTCAACGTCAATGCCGGGTACTACTTCGGAAGCCTGACGTGGACAGACGGTGTTCATGTTGTAAGAAGTCCGATATCTGTGAGAACTGAGGTTGCAGAAAGCATTTTCTGATGAAACATGTTTACTACAAGCAAGGGAGCCTGTCCAACTGTTAACAACAATTTATTAAAAAAAAAGAACATAAATAAAAGGAATAGTTTGTGGTATTTGAATCTAAATTATGGTACAAATGAAGATGTAAAGTAAAACCCTTTTCAACCATAAGCTTGCAATTGTAAAATATTGAATTTTATGACTTCATTGATATAGTTACAGCTGTAACCGTATAACTATCAGCAGGTTCAGAGTTAAACAACCTTGGGCTTTTGCTATGTATTAGTTTGCTATAAATAGGCTTGTAGAGTCCTTGGGCTCACTACTGGATTTGATCAATATGATTAGTTTTGTCCATTTAGTTATTTTCCGAAAATATAGATTCATATTTTTTTTTATTTCTCTCTTTCTGTGCTTTGCTGAGTTCTCTTCTTCAAGCTCTCCTCTCTACTTCTTCTTTGAGTTTTCTATGAATCACAACATGGTATCAAAGTTATTTTTCCAGTTGTTTTTACGACGGTTGGACTAATGAAGGTCATAGGATTTAATGGTTTCTGGTGTAACAATTGTAGATATCATTTTCGTCCAGGGTTTTTAACTAAGTTTATATATATATATATATTATTTTTAATTTATTTTTGATTTAGGTTAATTGATTTTCTATATATATATATAATATAGTATATAATATATGTAAATATATTACGATTGTGTGGGGTTCATATATATATTATATGGGTAAATAATATAAATGTATTATATATATATATAGACTAAACTAATTATTATTATTTTAATTTGCAGGCTCAATTTACAACATTACAAGGCAAAACCAACTGGCCGTTTTTACCAAAACCCATTACATATAAAATACCCAATATCAGTTTTGGCCCAAGTACAATGCATATCAATGGAGGCTCACACATGCAAGACAAGCAATTAGGTTTTCTCTTTGCAATGTCCCAGCGCCGCTCACTCCATCACCGTTGGATCAAGCCGTGCAATCCAACAGTCCAAAACTGAAGACCACAAGGAAATTTGTAAAAGGGCTTCCGATTAAAAAAAAGGTAAAATTCAGAATTGGTCACTTTTGTTTCAATTTTATAAACGTATGATCACTCGATTCAAAGAACATAATATATGATCACTTTTGTTTCGTTTTAATTAAGATGTAGTCACTGAACCGTTAATTTCCGTGAGTTGGATGACATGACACGTTAATAAAAATGTTTAATTTTTATTTAAACCCTTAAACTTTAGATTAATTATTAATCATGGATCTTTTTGTAAATCTAAAATGGTTTAGGGATAAAATATCAATTTACCCTTTTTTCCATATTTTAATTGTGGTATGTTAAACTAGCCACTTCAATGGCTTCTTGGCCCCTAATCTCTATTTTCCTCGTCCTCCTCGTCGGCTCTGTTATCAATTCCTCGGCTACTTTGAAACCCATTATCTGACACCCGACGACGAGAGCAACGAAGGTCGACAGCCGATCACACTGCTACGATGATGGTGTTTACTGTGCAAGTTGGCATCTAGCCGTCGAGACCAATAACGCCGGTAATTGGACCCATATACCCTCCCGCTACCATTCCTACGTCAAATATTACATGACTAGTAAACTCTACGAGTCTGACTGCTAGGTCGTTGCTAATTTCTCCATCGTCTTTGCTTCCACCGTCGAGATGGCTCCCGACGGGAAAGACACATGGATCTTCGATATCGACGAGACATTGTTGACCCTACTACATAGATCATGGGTTCGGGTACGTTCATTGAACTTATCCTTGTTGTTGTTCTTAAATCCCATGTGTCAGATAAGATACGAAATGGATGCACTTTCTTTTCTTTTTGGTAGCGATAATGGAATAGAAAAACTCATATGGGTTTTGTTAATCCATGCTCCTAGTTGGTTGTTCCAGATAAGATTAAAAATGGATGTCGTTATTCTAAAATGATTTCAACTTACTTGGTTGTGTTTTGACATTGGATGAGGATCAAACGACGGGCCGCTATCGAGGAGAAGCACTGGTTTAGAGATGAAGTAGCGGCGGCGAAAAAATAGATTTGAGAGAGAAAAAGGGATAAATCGATATTTTATCTTTAAACCATTTTAGATTTACAAAAAAACAACAACAACTCATGATTAATAATTAATCTAAAGTTTAAGGGTTCAAACAAAGATTAAACCTTTTTACTAACGTGCCACATTATCTAGCTCACGGCAACTAACAATTTAGTAGTTTACAAAAAAAGTGAATATATATTATATTTTTTGAATCGAGTGACTATATGGTTATAAAACTGAAGCAATAGTGACCAACTCTATAGTTTACCCAAAAAAAGTTGTAAAAAATATTCCACGATTCACAGAGAAGCAATAACATATACAAAAACATTTTTTTCATAGTTCTTCTTGCATTCAAACAAAACAATAAAAAAAAGCACGTATGTGTTCCAGTTCGAATCAACTAAGAAAGAAAACAAGAATTACCGAGCATTTAGAGGTATTTTATAAGAACGAAACAATTTTTTTCTTTCCTTTCGAGAACCAAGCAGAGACAAAGAGGGTAGAGAAAGGGTTTACCTTAGTTAGAGGAATTTGCCTCGGTAGAGGGAAGGAAATCAAGACTTAGGAGTCAAAAAGAGTGTTAATTACAAGTACTGAGGGTTTCGAGTTTCGTTAGTTTCGATCATGGGTAGCCTAAAGGTCGTCGGAGCTTAGAAATATGAAGGATTTTGGGAGTTTAGAAGGAATTCACAGTAGTTTTGGCCATTTTTAACCCTAGATCTGAAGTGAGGAGAAAAACACGAAGCTTTTGGGTTTGATTAAGACGACTTATGGGTTTTCCTTGACTTTTAGAGTTGTTACTGGCAATGCTAGTTAGGGAGAAGAGGTGTGTTGAGAGAAGAACTTTTTTTTTTGTTGTGGTACAAAAGGAGCAAAATAAAAAAAGGGTTTATATAGTGAAGAGCTCAAGGGAAAGTTGCGTTTAAACCCTCCAAAAGCTGTCGCATTTTAGAAAATGATCACTTATTTGTCATTTTTTATTTTAATTCTAAGTGGGTGTCCCTAGCATGCAATTTTAGATTTTTGCGATTCATTAAGTATCTTGAATTAAATGTAAGGGTTATTTTTGTTTAAGTCCTCATGTCTTAGGCGTGTTTTCACAGTTTGGTCACTAGACCTTTTTTATTTTCTTCGATTTTGTTCTACATATTTACATTTATTTTACTTCGGTCACTAATTTTTTTAATTGATTCGAATTTGATCTAACATTTATGTGTAGTTACGATTTAGTCATTTTTTTATTTTCTATGTATTTTGAATTAACCTCTATTTGTTTTATTCTTCTTCTTTTTTCACTTCATTGCGTTTTAGCCTTAGTCTTAATATCATCTTTAATTACTAAGTCACTAATATCTTATTTATTAATTGTTAATTTTAATTATATTCAATTCATTGATTGTTATTTTTTACACTTATATCCTTTAGTTTTTCAAGTTTTAGATTTATGCATTATAATTTCTTGCACTTTATAATTTAGTCCTTTAAATTATTGTATTTATATTTTTTGTAATTATTTTAATGTTTGCCTCTTATTTTGCATGTTTTCAATTTAGTCCTAGAGTTTTTGTTTAGATTGACACCTTAGGCTTAGAATTCTTTTAATTTAGTCCTTAACTAGAATGCTTATACTTTATGTTTAGTCCTTAGATTTAGTTTCTTCACATTTTAATCCATATACTTTTAATTAGGTAAGTAATTTGATTTGGTGCTTGCATTAAATGCCCGAGGGTTCTCATTGATTATTCGAATCAATAATTTTTAAAAATCAACTAGGTTTAACATTAGAGCCTCCACTTTCGATTAATTTCACTTTTTAGCACTTTAATTTAGAAGAATCTTGATTTGGCCTTTGCATTAATGCCCGAGGGTGCATTTCAATTATTCAATTTAATAATTAGCTAAAATTAATTAAGATTAATATTAAAGCCTATATTTTTAGGTTTAGTCCTCTAAGTTATTTTAATTTCATAATTTGACACTATAAGTTAGAGATTTGCCTTAATTAACTCACCTAATATAATTAGGTTCATAATTAATTCTCTGATTGCATTTCAATTTTAAAATCAAGGCAATGTTAATTTATTAGGTGATTGATAATTTATCCTCCACCATTGCTTGAGGGTGACCACTATTAATCCCCTGAGTAAGTTGACATCCTTTTTAAACCATACATCATGTTTTTTTAAATAATTAAGGCAATGTTGACTTGTTGGGATTGATAACGAAGCTTCCGCTTGTGTCCTGGGGTGTTTGTTATTTGTCATGGTAAATAAACATCCTTTTTGAATTTTGCAAATATAATGGATTTTAAATTTAATAAAATTCCAAACTCGAAAATTCCAATTTTAAAATATAGGGTATACTAATTTTGGGAGCTATGAGGGTGCTAATCCTCCCCCATGCGTAATCGACTCACGAACCTGATTTTTGATTTTGCAAACCAAAAATGGGTATTTTTGATGAAATAAAAATATTTTATTAAAATTAACATATTTTAGGTGTTCCAATCTTACCTTAAAAATGATTGGTGGTGACTCCCAATTTTTTATAAACCATTTTCAAAAAACGTCGATAATCAATTTTTCACTCAAAAGTCGATTACGACAACTTAGCGACTACATTGGGGACATTATATTTTCTAAAACAAATAGATAGTCTAACCTTGAGTTGATTACCATATATTCTAGATTTATAAATTTTGAGTTCAAATTTATTTAATTTATGATTCATTATGCTTGTTTTTAAATTTGAAAATAGATTTCTCTCTAGTTAATGCTTTGACTTGATTGAACATAAAATAGAAGTGTTGTATCTCATAGATTTATACATGAGCTTTATCCCGATTCACCTAAGCGAAGGGGAAACATCAAATAATCATGGAATACTTGTTTTCCTTGGGTAGGTCTGGCAAAGTACCTTTTGAAAGCATTCTTTATGTTTGTCTGGATACTGTCTTACATGACAGAATCGAAGTCCTTATTTACCTTAGCAGGTTGTAAGGAAAATTTAGGAACCTTTTCTAGAACAAACTTTATGTAGAGAATTTAGTAAGCCCACCCCACTAGAGGAATTTTGAAGCCCTAAGAGAATTAGAACGCATGCGATTATGACTTAATTTCCTTTGCGTATTTTATTTCCAATATCATATATGAGTTTTATTCAATTATTCCTTTGCTTGC